AAGACAGAATGAACTGTTAAAATGTGTTGCAGAACAATACTACAAGATTACTGGAAGATAAATTCATGACTAAATGTACTCTACTTGCAATTTACCCATCAGCAAAACAACTTCCTTTCAAAAATGGGGACCAGAAATAGGACACAACATGGCTGGAGAACCAATACAAGTGTTATAAGCAACATTCCTATCTTATATTATTATTGCCACACTAGAAAATTTCAGTTTATACAATGATTACACAAAAGGAGCATTTAGGCAAGTAAAAACGTTCTGTTTTTTAAAACAGAATGTCTTTGAGTTATTTATCATATAAATTGGCAAGCCAATTTCATTGCAAAATTACAAACAAATCTCTGATGAAATCCTTTAAATCGTTTCCTTTTGGGCATAGAAAGAATTACTCTCACTCCCACATTACTTAGTGCAAGACATTTTTGTGCTTCATTCTAGTCACTACATAAACAAAACCAAACACAATGTTCTCAATAACACTAGAATAAATATCCTTAGGTTACATTGTTGTTGTTAGGTCAACTGCATATTTGGATCCTCCTCAAAAAAGCAAAGTGTTGATTTTCCAAGTATTTATATGCCATAGTTAGTAAAATCTGTTCAACTGCATTGCCAGAAATCATGCTGAATGATTTAAAGGCTCATTATTTCCAAGCTGATCAGTAACAGGATCAGAGCCCAATGATACTAAGAATACCAAAGGCAGCTACTTCACGATCCAAGAAAATATATAATGTTATTTCTGAGGTATGTCCCATGTTTATTTTAATAACATCAAGATAATATGCAGCGATCAGTACACAAAAACATTGTTAGCACATAATATTAATTATCAAAAATCCTAAATTTCAGTGCCAATATAGATACTGTGATAGCTATTTATATCTATACTTCTACCTCAGGAAGTAAAGGTGGATGGGTAGCCTGTTCCCCACCCTCTACACAAACACACACACCAGCAATATCCCCATATTGGGCGGTGGGTGGGTGGCTGAGAGAGTAATTAGTCCAATGTGAGTTTCTATGGAGGAAGAGGAAGTTAGAACCTAGGTCTTTCGTTTCCTATTTTGACCCACTGCATTCCACTGGCTTTACTTGTCTTAGACACCAGTCTTGCAACTTGGTGAGGATCCAGTTAATGCTGCTTTAAAAATAGAGTAAGAAGAAATGTGTGAACACAGATTAAAAGCATTTCCAGTCAGAACTTTCATGTATTCGTATTCAGATATGAAATGTTGACACCATGTAGAAAAGTTTCAGGTTTACTTTGGAATACGTATGTATAATTTATAAAAGGTGAAAGAATTCCATCTCTTCTGTATATTGCTTTTCTCATGTTGATCTAATTGCCTTGTAAATTAATTATTCAGTAACTCATAAGATTAACCAAGTTTTTTAATAAAATAAAAACAGCCATATTTTCTAAGCAACAGTTAAGGTAGCTTAAGTATCAGGAAGAGAAGCACAGCTTCAAAAGAACATTAGTAAATGAGAAATTATGATTAACTTGTTTCTTAGAATACAAATGATATAACACTATCCTTTAAAAACATTACTTATATTCCCCTTTTTTTAAATTGAAGACTGTCATTTTTCTTATAGATATCACAGCTATTTAGGAAGTATGTTACTACAGTATTTCACTCTATGAACCTGAATCAGAAAGTTTAATTTATTTTTACTGAAGTTGGGGTTTTTTTGTATGTGTGCACATGAACAAATCTTCTCTTTCTTTCTTCATCCTTCTGTCCCATCCACGCACACAACATATAAACCTATAAACATATAAACTCTGTAAACCACTTTGAGAGGGCTGTAAAGCACTATAAAGTGTATGCAAGTGCTATTGCTATATACAGGTAGTCTTCATCTTACATCTATTTGTTATTGCGACTTTTTGAAGTGGCAACAGTACTGAAAAAAATGACTTACAACTAGTTCTCACGTTTATAATCGTTGCAGAATCCCCACAATAATGTGTTCAAAATTCAGGTGCTTGGCAACTGGCATCTATTTACAACATGTCAGATCATGTGATCACTATTGGTTATCTTCTCAGTTAGCTTCTGACAAACGAAGCCATTGAATGAAGTTGGGTTTGCTTAATAGTAATAGCACTTAGACTTTTACACCGCTTTATAATGTTTTTTCAGCCCCCTCTGAGCAGTTTACAGAGTCAGCCTATTGCCCCAACAATCTGGGTCCTCATTTTACCAACTTTGGAAGGATGGAAGGCTGAATCAACCTTGAGCCGGTGAGAATCAAACTCCTGGCAGTGGGCAGAATTAGCCTGCAGTACTGCATTCTAACCACTGCACCTAATAATCTTGCGATTCATTTAACAGCTACAATCATTCTCTTAACAACTGTGGCAAAATAAATAAATCATAAAATCCGGTGTGACTCATTTAACCTTCCTTAGTCCTGATTGTGATTGTACATTGAAGTCTACCTGCACATACAAACTGCCATTTTAAAGTTGGTTGCACATTATTACAAAAATGTGTGTAGGTGGGAAATGACTATGACAGATTTGACGAGTTTCCAAGATAAACTGCTTTTCCTCAGCAAGATGCCTCTGATGGGAAGAAGTCATTAGATTCATAACACAGCGCTTTCAGACTGTGAGAGGGTTTTTTTTTCCTCTCCTGCCAAACACATTGCTGAATATTTTCCATGAACACCATGAAACTCTGCATATTCCAGATGCCCATGATTAATATATTTTGTAGTTTGTAATTAGGTGCAGTCACATGTGCTGTTTATAACTATGGGTGATAAAGCATTCCAGGCAGAGGGTGAAGTGGCTGCCAGCAATGAGACAGCATATTTTAACTTTTTATTATGTGTAGTACAACACCAAAGCTGCCTGGTACGGGGAGGTGGGTGAGAAACTTGCTAAAATGCTTCTTCTCTGCCATTCCCTAGTAGATTAACAACCTTTTCTTAGGAAGCTTCTTCTGGGAAGAGTTTCTTACAAATTTTAAAATGGCAAAAGTTAAGAAGAAAAACAATTGTCATCTGCCTAGACAAACTTTTCAGAGGATATACATCTGTTTAAAAATTCTCTACTCATAAGGGCTGGCAGCTTTTTTCCTATATGAAAATACTCGTAATCTTAAAAGCCTTGTTAAGAGGATATTTTTCAGCAGGAGGAAGCAAGTGTGAAATGTCATGAGCAATCACATTCCTCAATAATATTGGGAAGGGAAGCATGATCGTTGCTGCTAAACTGCAATGTTTGCATGGAATGGCAGTTTAACTTGGGAGAAGGTGAGAGCAATAGAAGCCATTCAGGCAGAGGACATGAAATGTCATGCCCTTGTTGGAGTCTGATTCTGAGGGGGAGATTGAGAAGCTGTCAGGTACTAGGAGTGTGGCTCCGGTGGCTGTGGAAGAAATGGGGGAAGGGCACAGTCCGTCTGGGCATTCAGAGGAAGATCCAGGGCCACCCCCTCTTCATCCTAGGGCACGCAGGGAGGAACGGAGAAGGGAGCAATGTGGCTTACGGAAGAGGAAAAGGCCCTGATCCCTTTTATTAGTTGCAGCTGGGAGAACAGGATATAAGACGGGCATTTGCACATAGCACCTTGCTGGAAGCAAAGCGTGCATTATCTTTGTCAAGGCTTATCTGGGTCCTCCCAACTGTGTGTGCTTCGTTATCTTTTGGAAGTCTGCAATTTATTATCCAGGCCTGTCATGTTAATTACTTCAGCATGGTTTGTGTTGGTTTTTTTATTTCTAATTTATCTGTACTTTGGGTTTGAATTTCTTCCCTTCGTAGACTGTTTTTGGAAGACTTTGATCTCCAGCCAAGGATAACTGGACATTGAGGGCCAAGTTGGAGGTATTAAAGGGACTTTACCTATTTTTGTGACTTTATTGCTTTGGTGCCATGCCCCGGGTCATCACAGGAACTTAGATGGGAGAGCTCTGCTTAAATCTTACTCTCTTATTTGGTAACCTTTTAAACCATTAAGATCTCTCTGTCCATTTTTCTGCACTGCTTTCTTCTATCTTCAATAGATCTCTGTGCTTTACCTAAATATAAAGAAAAGTTCAATTTTAGCTGGGCTCTTTTCTATAGTTGTGTTTTTCTGGGCATGGTCTGTATACAGATAGTCATTTTATAACCTTTCTTGCCACAGTTGTTAAGTGAATCTCTGCAGTTGACTTTGTTTGTCTGGGACATTGCAGCTGTCATAAATATGAGTCCATTGTCAAGCATTTTAATTTTGGTCACATGATCATTGAGATGATGCAACATTCCTAAGTGTAAAAACTGGTCGTAAGTCTCTTTTTTCAGTGCTGTTGTTACTTCGAACGGTCACTAAATGGACTGTTGTAAGTCGAGGACTACGCATACATTCTTTCCATTTCTTTTTATGATTGTTCTCCCTTCTCCTAAAACCTCAGAATGCCATATTTTGGAGGAGTTTGGTAACACTTTTTTCTATTAAATATTATTAAGAGGCACAAGCTTTAAACTAAATCAGATGAATGGAATGGCTAAACTCGTGCCGATGGTGCCTGATTATGAAGGAGCAGGTTAGACAGAATGAGACCTTCTGAGAGTTTGAAATCTGTTGACATATGTGAATTCAGCAATCTTTCAATTGTATTGTTCAAATTTCTTTTTTCTTTTTACCTTTCCCATCCCAAAAGAGCTATTTTGAAATCTGTAATGGACTCAAGAGTGATATCATAACTCAAAATAACAAATAGCTAATTGGAACAAAGAAAAAGCCACACATATCAGGTTATCTGCCTATGCAAATACATATATCATTCATGAACAATTAACATGAAACATGATTCTCTTTTTCAAAGCTGTTATGCACAATCTTCATACATATGATCTGCATATGCACAGGAAGCTTTAATATGTACAATTTACCTTGATGTAGTTGCATTGTTTTTTTCCTGTTATGTTTTAATATTTTTATATGTTCTGTTGCTATGCCTACACATATTCTTTTATTCAGAATAAGATGCCGACAAGTTCTATAAGAAGTCACCTTGCAAAGTTATCTGAAATGAGTTTGAACCTGTTGGTCTAAGTAAGTAAACAAGACTCTTTGAAACCATCTATGTTTTGTATTCCTTCCTCATCTGATTAGTGAAAGATTTCAGAGATGTAACAGGAGGGCTGAGTCAAGCTAGTAATCAGTGGATCCTTGGGAGAAGCAGTAGAGGAGAGTGGTAGTATGCTCCTTCTTCAAAGCCTTATTGCTATTTCAATTCGGGAGTTGACCTCTAGGGTTCTCCACTGTGGGGGTTATGTTTATCATAATGATTTCATCTCATTTTGGAGATCCTGTTATGATCTGGTTCAAGTTTAGTATAATCAGGACATACAGTACTGTCTCTGGGTACACGAGCCAATTAAATCCATTAAGTTTCCATCTTTGTTTCTGGCCAGGACAGAACTCCAGCATGCAGAATTGACTCATAATCTACAGATCTATTTATATTCTCAGTTCTTGCTCAAAGAGCAGATGGCAACCATGACCAAGAGGTTTTTACCTGCTTCCAGCTTGTAACCCCTTTTATGGCAATTTCTGGGTCAGGGTCTTTGTCTGGATCAGGGGCTTATGCTAAGGGGTTTTGTCACCATGTTTTTTATTATTGTAATGTCCTCTACCTTGGACTTCACTTAGAGATCACAAGCTTCGTCTGGTTTACAATGTAATGACTTAAGTAACATCAGGTGATTGGGGAATACAGGGCAGATTTTCTCTGTCACTGCTCCCCTTCTCTAAAACAGCATAAGCCGGAGATAAGAGCTGTATCCTTACTATGGCCCTCAAGGGCCATTAGGACCTGGTGCTTCTACGGGGCCTCTGAGAGGCTGAAATGAATATTTGTTTGTCCTTGAGCAGAGGTATTTGTCACTTTTGTTTTGACTGTCCCTTAGTGGCAAATTATAACAGGCTATTTTACCTGATTTTAACCATTTTGCTGGACATTGGCATTTAAGTGGCTCTGAGCCCTTTGTGACAGGAGGAACACAGCATATAAATAACTTGACCAATATCCAATTCAAACTAATTCGAGAATTTGCTTTGGTACCAGTGAAGGAGAATAGAGAAGGATGTTAGAGATAGAAAGAAAAAGTTTGTATACATTATTTAACTGAACAACACAGATCACAGCAACAAATTATCCTAATGTAAAAAACATTTCGGAGGAAAAGTTAATTACTTCAATGTATTCATTGTTTTGATATTCTAAGTTTATCAATATTCTTTTTAGGTGCCCAGTTGTGTCCAGATCTGCAGCAAAATGATTACAGATACTTACCTTAAATATAAATATTCACAAGCAATCATAGTATTTTGCATTTTGCATACAAAAATCATGTAAATACTATTTATGTCAACATGTGTGACTTGCATTTTTTACATACAAAAATCATGTAAATACTATTTATGTCAACATGTGTGACTTGCATTTTATTTTCACTGTAATTTTATGTTAAGCACATTACTGAACACTGTGGAAGTACAGAAAGTACTGTTGTATTGCAGTATTTTGCTGGCTGACCCACCAAATTACATGCTGCATGCAGATATACTGAACTCTTTCCCAGTGCCTTGGACTTTGCTTTTTTATCTCTCTCTCTCTTCTCCAGAGCAATGTCTTATTGATAAACAACAGGAAGGCAACAGTGGCATGGAATGGTTAACTATTCTCTGACAAGTTCTTTTCCGTTTGGAAGAAAAAGCTGCAATTTGGAGGCACTGAACTGGAGCAGAAAAAAGCCTAATCAAGAAATGCCAAGGTCTATTGGTTCCTTTCCCCCCGACCCAGTGGGTAGGTACCAAAAAAGGCATTAAGAACAACTTGCACACGTCTGACAGAAATATCTATATTGGTTAAAATCTTTATTAGTCTTAAACTAGTGCCCAGTGGTCTAAAGTCCATTACAGCAATAGATATTGCCTACACATGAAGAACATAAGAGGAACATAAAGCATATTTTATATTAGGTCATGTTAAGCAGCTAGTACACTAAGCCCTGCATAATAGCCAGTAAAAATTCCCAGGGCCCCTTTTTTTTAAAAGCTCTCTGACCACTTGATTATTTTGATTGGAATCAGGAAGACTGAATCCTGAATTCCCTATAAAATAGGTACTTTAGTAGACAATGATATCCCTTCCTTCAAGTCTATTGCTAGACATTCAGCTGCCCGGAATTCTGTCAATGGACCAGTTCGGAAAAACAAGCATGTTGTCCTTGGATCTTAACTTTGTGTATATTTTTGTATAATAGCCTGCTAATGCCATCTAAAATCAATTTTAAAAGTTAAAGTTTAAACATGGAGTAATTTATTCCAGACTGTTATTTCTACTGAATGATAAGTAGCATTCATGGTGTTTTCTTTGATTTCTATTCACTATATTTGTATAAAAAGGCAATTCAATCAATGTAATAGGCAACATTTTGTACAAAAATACAGAATTTTAAAAGCTTTAAAAAGTATATTCTATATTACTGATCAGAACTGGACTATATATATTTATATATAAATTTTATATAAATTTATACATGTATATTTATATAAATTGCCAATATTTGGGAATTTAGCAAGTGGCTGCCTTGTTTACACAGTAGCTTTGTATTTTTTTTTTGTCTTTCTAGAGTAGTAAAGTCATAACTTGTTATCAGCTTGCTATTTTCTAGTTCTTACCAGAACATATCTTCTGCTTAACGACTGAAGAGATCTACAAGTAGTTATGTCCAATTACATTTTCTACCAACATGTTTGTGCAACAGGTTGTAAAGCCCCTGAAAAATTAGAAAATGTGGCGGACAAATTGTGCTGATGAAGTTTATTCATCAAAGTTCTCAGTGCTCCTTTTCTTGGGTAATGGTTCCCAGTCCCAGATGAATTTTTTTGCAAAGAAAATGTCAGTCTCTTGGTCCATGACCTGTTACAATCCTGGAGGCTGAGCTGCAGTGGGAAAGGAAAAGTAACAAGTGTTACAAACTTGGCTTTAAAATCCAGAAAACAATGCCAAAGCTGCAAGTTGCTGTCCAAACCTGTGTCTGTTCATAGCCAGTCAAAATGCAAATGGTATGACAATGGTTAAGAAGATATAATGTGAGAATGTGAGAATCAGTGTGTACTAATTACAGGTGACAAAAGAAAGATTGCCAGTCTATCTACATAGAGTCCATTGCCATTTGCCAATGAATCACAAGGGCAGTCCCATTGGTTTCACCCTTGAAATGCAGAAGTAGAAAAAAAAACTTTCAAACTATTGATTCTTCTCTACAGGTGATCCCTCCCCATCTACCAGCTCCATAGTCTTATTAAAAGACAATTCTGACCCTTAAAATATCACCTAAGTGTTGACTATTGTTAACGTAGTGAAATCTTGGGTTCTTTGGAAAGATTGCCATACTAGCTGAGGAAAAACTTGTCTTTATTTAACACATCTGAATTGTGTTGTATAGTTGCTTAATCATCTTGGAGGGCCGGTTATAAAGTCAGATGTTATGCTGTTAATCATGTTGTAAGATAATTGAGGAGGACGGGGCAAGGAAGGGGATCTAATAGGGATCAAGACTGAAGTGCTGGTATAAAGGTCTTCTTGTATTACTTCACTGTAGAAGTTATTTACTTTGTAGGAAACAGCACCAAGTAAACACAAATAGATGTCTAAGAATTATTTTTTAGATGTTATACAGAATACGTTTTGGTTGCAGTGACAACATGTCTCAGATATTAAAAGCTGCTGAAATTTAAACACACATGAAAATTATAACTGAAATTTAAATTCAGGTTAGCATATAAATTTAATAAATAAGGAAAGATTCAAGAGAGCCCTATGTTTGTTGTATATTTCTCACTTCCTTTTCTGAAGAAGCTCAGGTGAGCATTTTATCCTAATTCCAGGCTTCTTGTACTATATAAAGTCAGGTTGAGAAAAGAAAAAAGAAGAATAATTTGTCCAAAACATCCAATGAATTTTATGATAGACCCACTACTTCAAACCCTTGCTATTAAATTAACCTAAGAGTCAGATATTAACTATTTCTCTATATAATTGATAATAACAAAATACAAAGGTAGAATTGTATCTCGTTTTTCAATTTTTCAATTTAATGTAAGATACAGAAATGCTTAATGAAAGGGGAAGCTGATTAATAACATCTGGCTCTTCACCCATTGTCTTTGATTATTCTAAGGTGCTCTATCTTAGGCTGCTTTTTCAAGTTTGGTTTTTAATAATAGTAACTTTTAGTACAGCAGTATTTTAATGAGGTACTTATCGTTATGGGTCTATTATTTGGGGGCGGGGGGTGGGTTGTATTCCACTTTGCTTTATTTTCACCAGAAAGGAAATACATCACTAAATACTCCTTTAAAAAACTTCAGGAACGTTTTCCTATTGCTTATAGCTTTTCAGACTGCATATTTGAGTTCTGAAATTACACTACTTAGGTGTTAATTGGAAAAAATAAATCACTGCATTGCTTTTCTTCAGAATTAGGTGGGAATGTTTTAGAACACTGATTGCCAAATGTATGTAACCTAGTAAGAATAGCTGTGTAATCTTGGAATACTTGCCACTAGTTTAAAACTCAGTGGCCTGGACATCAGAAGCAGCTATGGAGAATATTTATACACAGATGCTAATAAAGATTGATCTCAAGTTCTCTTCCAAGATCTTTTATCTGTGTGAGCAGGACATTCAATTCCCTCTTGTCCCAGCTGTAGAAATTTGGTTGGTAATACACCTTTGTAATAAATGTGAATGCGTTTGGTTCAAAGCTTACCATACCTTTTTCCACATCTTGTTCACAAATAAAACTATTAACATCTTCACAGTGAAAGTCATTCCAGAGCCCAGCATGGATTAATCCAGCACAATCTTCCCCTGGTCCATGGCCATGTTTCCAGTTATCAGGCTGTCCAGCACTCCAGTTTCTTGCAATAAAACAAACAAATATATATATATATATATATATATATATATAGTCATTTCATAACCAAGCCACCATATGACAGTGTGACAGAAGAGATTTATAATAGTAAAAAAAAAGAAACAATTTCTCCTAAAGCAGAAATCATACTCCTTAACAAATAGTGCATGACTACTTTTCCTGGAAATTGAAAACAGCTGGGCTTTAGTGATGGGAATCAACTGGACAAACTGCCAAAGCTCAAAAGTCTAAAATTAGACCAAAAATTCTGTTCTGGTTTTGGACTGCACATAAGACACATGTGCAGAGTGTAATCCTTCAATGGGGTTGTATTTGTTTGTCTGATCTATAGCTGCATATGAGCTACTAAGATATAAATACACCTTCCTGTTGGATTTATATATACATTTCCAAATCAAAATATAAAGAATAGTTTTTGGTTATACAATATTTAGAGAGAAATACCTAATGTTATCATATCATAAACTAAAAACACATCAACAATCATATATTGCAAGAACTATCTAAGAATAAAAATAAATTTGTAGAATTAGAGCTACCAAATCTGGACTGTAAAACTCCAGAGCAGAGATTTGCAATCTGTTTATTGCTATCTAGTGATTTTTCAGATTTCTGTAGCCTTTGTATTTATCTGGGGAATGTTCCATCCTCCTAGTAAATTATCCTTTGGGTGGATTATGAACCATCCTTTAAGATTTCTTAAGGTCCTTAAAGCTGCAATGGTTTAAGCTACTAATGTGGAGATTTCATCAGGATAAGAAGGAATTAGCCAAAGATACCAGTAACATTTCCTTAACCTAAGTTCCAATGCTCAACAGCAAACAAACTGAGAGTCTGAAGAAAACAGCAATAATTTCATTCAGTGGGAATGAGAAATCTGAGTCTGGTTGATCTAGTGCTGATCCAGTGTTTACTCTGATTCCAGAATTTGATTGATATTTAGCTTCAGTGACAAATGAAGACACAAGTTTGGTACCAGCAATGATTTACAATTGATGCAATACAGAAGTCTTATTTTCTGTAATCAGCCAAGTAAAATTGACCCCTGTTGTAGCCTGCCGGCGGCTAGCGGAGCTGGCAGCAGAGTCGGACAGTGAGGAGGTTGGGGAGGAACGTGGGACAGTCCTGGAGGCTGAGGAAGGCTCAGACGAGGGCTATGTGTCAGAGGCAAAGATGGAGCTAGGGCAGGCTGGCAGTTATCAGCTGCCTTTGGAGTTGGACATTAGTGAGGCGGGGGAGCAGCTTGAACTGGTTCTCAGCCTGCGCATGCACAGAACTGCCAAAAGAAAAGAACAATTACGAATTAAGGCTTGATATGGGGGTAGGCTATAGGTGAATGGTGAATGGCCCCTCCAATAGGGATTAAAAGGGGAGCAAAAGGGGAGGGGGCTTTTGCAGGAAACAATTCATTCGTTTGTTTGCTTCGTTGAAGCAGTGTGAAGATTTGTCTGTGCATCCCAGAGACTCTGTGCCAAGCCTTTCCTTGTCAGCACTGCGCTTGAAAATATTTACTTTTCAGTTCTCCAGGCTAGATAAGGTCTGTGCTCCTAATTAGATCCTTGAAAGACTGTTTGCCAGGCCTTTGGCTGAATGTGAATGCAAGAAATTCACCTTTGTTTAATAAACGGGGTTTTGCCGGGACAAAAAGTCTGCTTATTGCTTTTTGAGGAAGCCTAGGTCAGAACAACCCTTTCTCTTTCTTTATTTGATGTCCCTCCTCCACCCACACAAGTTTGTATAAAAGTTGTTTCAAAAAACCTGTGGTTTCTCTAGCCTAGTTTGCTATTAACCCTGTAATAAGCATCT